ATCCAACTGAAAATAAGCGTTTTGCCCTCTGGAGAAAAGCTAATTACACCATCACCTTTATTCCACACTGTTCCATTTTCTTCCCTGTCCTTTTCAGCTACCAGGTCCTGCTCTTCCTTCTTCTCCTTCTGCTTCTTTCCTAATTTTTGATATCTTCTCTTGCTTCCATGGCCATGCTTAGCTATGTTGGTGTTGTCTTCCTAGCATATTTCTCCTATGTTGTCTTCGTAACATATTTATAATGTCGGTACCCAACCTCCTGGGCACCTTTTGATGCCCGTTCCTCTGCCTCTGGTGATGCTCCATCTCCAAAGGCAGGTCCTGTGCCCTCTTTCATCACTACAGCAACAGTCCTACCAGACACCCTCATTCCAATTGCTTCTATAAGACCATCAAACTTTAACTGTAGACACAACCAAAAGTAAAGTAATGGAAAACCTATGATTTGTCAGGTCCCTGAAGTTTCCCTAAAACCCCTCATTCTGCTAGAGCTTTGATATTCCCCACAAACCGAAGCATGAGGATGTAAAATATCCCGTTATCCTCTCGCAGACACCACAGTGGCGATGCTGTTACACCGCTGGAGCTCTTTTTATTCAACACATTGCAGCATAAATGCAAGGAATAACTTCGCCCATTCCCACTTCCATCGACTTTAAGAAAAGTAGGAGATTGCAACCAAAACCAGCCCCTTCTCCTCCTGGGTGGGGGCATGGACACCGGTGACAGATAGGGGCAACTTGTTGCAGTTTTTCCCGTATGCGGACAACACCCTGACACGATAAGGGCCGGCAGCGCAGCACAAACATTTCAGTTTGCCAAAAAGCAGTTCCAAACTTTTTTATTTTCGCAAGGATGTCAGGGACCCCCCGAGCTATTCCCAGTCACATTCTGGTTGCTACCCCGTCCCCGCAGACACAGCCCTGCCTACAACCAGGGCAGCGATGAGTTTAACGCCACAACTTCCAACTCATCAACTTCTCCCCATCCAAGAAACCCCAAGCGCAAACTCGCGGGGTGGCATCTCCTGGGGACAACACACTGCGACGATACCGCTGGTTAGGGACAACGTAGCCCTTGAGGACGCCCCTCCGTGAGCGGGCGCGCGTGAGGATGGAGGTAACGGGCGCCGAACGCGCTTTCCCCGCGGAGGAGGCGCGTTCCGGCAGCGCGGGAAAGGAGCGAGCCGGGCTGCCCCGCGGGACGGGGCGTGAGCGGCGGCGCGGGACACC